TGGTCTACATACAGGTTCTGCATGAGTGCAATGAAGTGTTCTAGAATTCCCATTCTTCACAATGTTATCCATAATTTGTTATGATTCACACAGTTGAATGCCTTTACAAAGGCAATAAAACACAGGTAAACATCTTTCTGGTATTCTCTGCTTTCAGCCAAGATCCATCTGACATCAGCAATGATATTCCTGGTTCCACACCCTCTGGCAGTTCCCTTTCGATGTACTGCTGCAACTGCTTTTGAATGATCTTCAGCAAAATTTTACTTGCATGTGATATTAATGATATTGTTTGGTAAGTTCTGCATTCTGCTGGGTCACCTTTATTTGGAATGGGCACAAACATGGATCTCTTCCAGTCAGTTGGCCAGGTAGGTGTCTTCCAAATTTCTTGGCATAGATGACAGGGCACTTCCAGCATTGCATCCATTTCTTGAAACATCTCAATTCCCGAAGGTTTGTTTTCCGACAATGCCTTCAGTGCAGCTTAGACTTCTTCCTTCACTGCCACTGGTTCTTGATCATATGCTACCTCCTGAAATGGTTGAATGTCAACCAATTCTTTTTGGTACAGTGACTGTGTATTCCTTCCATCTTCTTTTGATACGTCCTGTGTTGTTCAGTTTTTTGCCCATAGAATCTTTCAATATTACAACTCAAGGCTTGAATTTTTTCTTCAGCTCTTTCACCTTGGGAAATGTTGAGCATGTTCTTGCCTTTTGGTTTTCTAACTCCAGACCTTTGCATATGTCATTATAATACTTCACTTTGTCTTCTCGAGATGCCCTTTGAAATCTCCTATTTAGCTCTTTTCATCATTCCTTCCATTCGCTTTAGCTACTCGATGTTGAAGAGCAAGTTTCAGAGCCTCTTCTGACATCCACTTTGGTCTTTTCTTTCTTTCCTATCTTTTTAATGACCTTATCCTTTCTTCATGTATGTATGATGTCCTTAATGTCATCCCACAACTCATCTGGTCTTCAGTCATTAGTGTTCGATGTGTCAAATCTACTCTTGAGATGGTAAGTTCAAGGATATACTCAAGGTCATACTTTGGCTAGGAATGGTGTCGCATTCATCATCAAAAAGAACATTTCAAGATCTATCCTGAAGTACAACGCTGTCAATCATAGGATAGCATTCATACGCCTATAGGAAGACCAGTTAATACGACTATCGTTGAAATTTATGCATCAACCACTAAGGACAAAGATGAAGAAATTGAAGATTTTTACCAACTTCCACAGTCTGAAATTGATCGAACATGCAAGTAAGGTGCACTGATAGTTGCTGGTGATTGCAATGAGAGAGTTGGAAACAAAGAAGAAGGATTGGTAGTTGGAAAATATGGCCCTGGTGATAGAAACAATGCTGGAGATCACATGACAAAATTTTGCAAGACCAATGACTTATTCATTGCAAATACCTTTTCTTCAACAACATGAACGGCAACTATATAGGTGGACCTCTCCAGATGGAATACACAGGAATGAAATTGACTACATCTGTGGAAAGAGACAATGGAGAAGCTCAATATCATCAGTTAGAACAAGGCCAGGGGCCGACTGTGGAACAGACCATCAATTGCAGTATTGTTAGGAATGATAAAAACCTAAAACGTTCTTGAATGTCCATCAACTGGGGAAGAGTTGAATAAATTATGGTACAACTATAATACAGAAAGGCATCTGTGTGGCACAAACTGTTTGTGCTCAATTATTAACCTAAAAGTTGGTAGTTCAAACTCACCCTGCAGCAATGCAGAAGAAAGGCTTGGTGATCTGCTTCCATAAAGACTACAGCAAGAACACCCTATGGAGCAGTTCTACTCTGTAACACATGGGGTCACCATGAGTCAGAATCAACTCAATGGCAATGAGTTTAGTTTTGTTTTCTGGTTTTTTGTTTTTTAATAACATATTATCTAGCTGTTAAAAAGAGACATTTGATTCATATTTGTTCATAAGGAAAGATGTGACAAAATACCAAGTGAGAAAAATAAGTTAGAAAGCATTGTTTGTGATTCCATTTTTACAGGAGAAGAATGGAAAAACAACAACAACAACAACAACAAAAAAAAACCCTTATATACCTCAGAGAGAAAAAGACCCCAAAAAGTAGGGAGGAAGATAGTTAACTTTTTCTATACTCACAGTTCCACTGTTTGAAACATTGTAACAATCATTTTCTATCCTGTAACTTTTTAAAAATAGAAAAATCTTAAATGAAACAGGTATTTTTCTGCGCTTGACTTTTGTGAGCATTAAGCAATATATATGCCAGACAATATGAAAATCTCCTCCAATTTGGATTTTATCTCCCCATACCACCAATCTGTACCGTGCAGGGCAGAAATGGCCTTCTCTTTTGTTAAATCTTATGCTGCATTTTCAGTCTTTGTTGTCCTTGCCCTCTTCACAGCATCTGACACTGTTCAGCAGCTTCTTTTCCCATTTTAATTCTCTCCTCCCTTCCCCAATTAGCTGCTTCTCCCGTTTCCTTCATGGTTCTTTGCTTCTTTCTCCTTGATCTACACCAAGGGCACTTTCCAAGGTCTGGGTTTTCTCTCTTTCTCTAAGAAATCATCTATTCCCGGGGCTTCAATTCTCTCCTTGCAGACAACCCACAAATCATCCCTATTCCCTCCCTTGGACTCCTCTCCCCTATTTTCAGCTCTCCAGTGAACCATTTTCCTTGCATATGGTGTCTCTCCTGCAAACTGAACTCATTCAAAAGCCTCATTTCTTGCCCTTGCATTACTGCCCCAGACAAAACAGCTTTTCTCTTGACCTCATTCATTTCCTCAATAGCAGAATTGTCCTCCCAGCCACCCAGGTTCCAAATCTCAGAGTTATTTTTGCATGCTCCCTCTTCTTCACCTTCAATTCTAATCTTTCATCAAAACCTGCTGATTGTTTACATCTCACCTGTCTCTTTCTACCCATGTGCACTGATATACCCTAGACCAGGACTCACAGTAACTGCTTCTCCTGTTTCTTCCCATGTTTCCTCTTTTCAAACTGACCAGCTACTGCTCTCATTTTGATTTTTTCTGTCTCCACCCCTAGCAATACCAGAACCCTCACCACCACCATGTAAAGCAACCTGCATCTCCTAGAAGGAAGGGAATATACACAGCAGAGCAGCCAGGAACTCAGGCTCAAGGGCCTGACAGCTCATCTATGAATCACAGTGCCACCACTTAACTGCCGTGTGCCTCAGTCTCATCGCTAAAATGGAATTGATATTAATATCTCCCTCAGAAGGTTGCTGTGAAGATCAGATTCATTAAAAGAGACAAAGCACTTGGAATAGTGTCTAGCCCAGTATACCCTCTGTACCTAGATTTTAATGACTCCCAGCTAGACTTGTGGACACAGTGTCCCCTGAACCTATGTGTTCATACTTTCTTTGTTATTATAAAACCAGCTGTCGTTGAATCGATTTGAACTCATGGCCACCCCATTTGTGTCAGAGTAGAAATCTGCTCCATAGGGTTTTCAATGGCTGATTTTTCGAAAGTAGATCATCAGGTCTTTCTTCTGAGGTGCCTCTAGGTGGATTCGAATTTCCAACCTTTCAGTTAGCAGCCAAGCGTGCTAACTCTTTGCACCGTCCAGGGACTCCATAAGTTGTTACTATACCCTTCCCCATTCAGTTTATGCCGTGTGGAAGACCCTTTATCTTCCTGGGTGCTGCATACAAATTCCACCCGTCATCAAGGCTCAGGTGTAATTCCCACCCAGCCGCTGGGTCTTCTCAGATTACTCTATCCACAGCCTACCTCTCCTGCCTCTGAACTTCTATAATACCTACTGGCTGTCCCTAAATCAAGTTCTTCTTTAAGTAAATAAGTGTGGGAGGCAGCCCACACACAGCGAAGAGTATTGGTGCTGGAGCCAGAGGCCTGCCTCTTTACCATGTGGTGCCCCTAATTTGTGTTTAGTGGCTCTGACCATCAGCTTTTCTTCTGTAAAAGAGTTTTAATATCATCTCATGTATGACGTTATCTTAAGGATTGAATGAGATCATGTAAAGCTTCTATCACGTCATCAGGCATATTAATAAATGCTGGTTCCCTTCCAGTGAGATTATAAACTCCCTAAGGGCAGTTTGTATTTCTCCCAGTCCCAAGGACAGTACTTAGCAGAAATTAACAGACATGCAGGTGCATGGCGGGCTGAAAAAAAAAAAAAGAACCCCCTTCTAAATCTAATGATTCTGTGACAATATTCTGAAATGGGCTGTGTCTTAGTCATCTAGTGCTGCTGTAACAGAAATATCACAAGTGGATGGTTTTAACGAAGAGAAGTTTATTTCCTCACAGTAAAGTAGGCTAAAAGTCCAAATTCAGGGCATCAGCTCCAGGGGAAGGCTTTCCCTCTCTGTCGGCCTTCTTCTCATCAGTGTTCCCCTGGACTAGGAGCTTCTCTGCACAGGGACCCTGGTCCAAAGGACCGCTCTGCTCCTGGCACTTCTTTCTTGGTGGTATGAGGTCCCCCTGTCTCTCTGCTCAGTTCTGTCTTTTATATCTCAAGACACTGCCTCAGGATACAATCCAATCTTGCAGACTGAGTCCTGACTTACAAACACAACTACCACCCATCCTCCCTCATTAACATCATAGAGGTAGGATTTACAACATACAGAAAAATCACACAGTACCAGGAATCATGGCCCAGCCAAACTGATAGACACATTTTTGGGGGGACATAATTCAAACCATGACAGGCTGTTCCATACTATTCTAAATAACTGGCAATGCTTTGGTGCATTTTAACATACTCATCTACCAAGAACATAAACTAATTTTATTTTTGCTCTAATGAGATAATATATTATCTGCCTAACCTTTATCTCACTCTTACACGCTATCAAAACGTTTTTTAGAGCTAGTTTTTGCAAATTGAGGTAAAACACAAAAGCCAGAAAGCACACGCAAAAGAAGAGAAAAAGAAAAAGAAATTGCAACACAAGGTAATTGGAAAGATTTTTCATACCTAAAAAGGGAATTTTCAACCACAACCTTAGTCATAAACCTTCAACAGGCAAATCAGAAGCAGCAAAAGATGAAGTGCCAACGAGAGAATCCGGATGAAGTGTGACTCGGTTCAGGCAGTGGGTTACAGGACTCACAACACACTCTGACGGAAGTGGGTGCTGTACCTTTATCACGGCCGCCCCCACCTGACCACCTGTAGCAGCCTCAGAGGAAGCACACAACCCCCACACACTTTCCAGCTGCATCTTGGCAGCCACAAAGTACGCACACACAATCAGCCAACGTATAAAATTATATCAGAAGCATCAATATGAAAAGGGAAAAATTTTGTACTCATGATGAGTAACTCGTGCTATTTAGATTCTGCCACCAGGACCTCAAGCTGAGTTAAGGGGAGACCCCTCTAAACACACCCACACAACGCTGATTAACAGCTATGCAAGTGCACCATCTTGGTGCATCAAATATTCGAGATGGAGCCTGGCATTTAAAAGGCTGAAGCAGCAAATCCTGTTGGAGGGTGAGGGCCAAGTGGGGGTGCTGTGGAGGCTGTAGGGCTCCTTTCCTAGTGTTCAATTGACAAATGAAAATATGTCACTGGGCCCAAAAGCCAGGAGGGCTGTTCACTGCCTTAGACTCAGGCTAGACAAAGAAAAGACCCACGGCTTCCTGGCCCAATTGTCCTACATATGAAAAGGCTGGGTCTTACTGAATGTAATGCTTCACATGTTTGGAGCAGTGTTCTTCTAGAAGCCTTCTCCAAAAATTCACATTACTTAAGTAATGTGAAGATATGACAAAAGAAAAACATAAGAGCAACTGTTTACAAGTCATCTGTAAAACTTTATTTTGCTTGAATAATTTTTTAATCATCATTTAAAGCAGTTAAATTAAAATGCACCTGCTCTGTAAATCAGGAGAGAACACACCTGCTCCTCAGATAGGACTTTAAAATAATTTGGGGTGTTTTTCCCCGGAGATGCTCTCATTTTATATTTAATGGGAAACAAGAAGAAAATTTGAACAAACTCAAATTCTGACCACAATTTATCTCCCTAAAGAGATCATCAGTGGGCATTAAAGAAAAATGTGACTTTTAAACATATCTCTGTACTCCAAAACACACCCAGTATTTAGGTATCAGAGAAGTCATAGTTCATTATTATCCTATTAACAAGGAGAAAAGTAGACAGTATAAATGCACGGGATGTCTACCACAGCATAAACGTACACAACTTTTAGTCTATAAGAGACATGTCCTAAATTAATGTATGTTCTCCATTCTAAAATAATTTTAATTTACCACAGTTCTTTGGCCACAATTGAGGCCAAAGAACACGGAGCATTTATCCACATGTTCCCATTTCCCACGCAACTTGCCCAGGGCCATTCTGAGTCAGAGCATAGAAAAAAGCAGAAGGAGTTCTTCCTCTGCCGAGTCTGCTTAGTTCAAGAATTCTGGTAAGTCTAAATAGAAAATACACATCTTTAAATGGTCATCATCCACGTTAATAACTGGAAAATGAATAAGGAAGACCGAAGAAGAATTGATGCCTTTGAATTACGGTGTTGGTGAAGAATATTGCATACACATGGACTGCCAGAGGAACAAACAAATTTGTCTTGGAAGAAGTATAGCCAGAATACTCCTTAGAAGCAAGGATGGCAAGACTTTAGTTCACATACTTTGGACATGTTATTGGGAGGGACCGATCTCCGGAGAAAGACACCATGCTTGGTAAAGCAGAGGGTCATTGAAAAAGAGGAAGACCCTCCACGAGACGGATTGACACAGAGGCTGCAACAATAGGCTCAAGCGTAGCAATGATTGAGAGGATGGTGCAGGACCAGGCAGTGCTTCGTTCTGTTGTACATAGGCTCCCTATGAGTCGGAACCAACTCGACGGCACCTAACAATAACAACAACGTCAATAAGCTTTAAGGCAGACACTGAAGCTTTTTGTGTTGGCAAATCCTAGAACTACACTTCCTTCAGACAGGATACCACTGGATAAATGTCTGTCTTAAAAATTTTTTTTTCTAAAAACAGGTTAGGGAATCTGTAATTGCCTTCTTTGCAAGAATGCAAATTGTACTGCTTGCAGACTACCCTAAGCAAAAGAGCAAGGGATGGAGGAAATTTCAGTAAAATTCTGAGAATTGTAGTTTTCATTATAGATTTTCAAATGTAATTTCCTAGCATTTACCTCCACCTCTGTTTCCTCATTTCCCCAGTAACTACACTGCCAGTTACTCATTGCTTATTATACCCTGGTATAATGGCCATCTGGTAACAATTTCATGTTAATTTTTCACTATCATCTGCTAGAACATCTCCTGGAGAAAACCTGAATGATACAAATACAGTATTTCAATATCTTAACCCTTTCAAACCACCTAGGATGAAAGAGTTTACCAATTCCTCATCATCCTCCCTTCTGAGTATGTGTTAGGGCATTAAAACTGCCTCTGCCTTGAACCCTTTTATGATGGCTGGCTTAATATCTACTTTGATGCAGTATTTAAGGTATCAAAAGTTTGAAGTTGTTACTTATTTTCTTCAAAAGAGTGTCACAAAGTCAAATTTCAGCTCTATCTACAAGAGAATTTTAAAGTTATAATGCTTTTGTAATTCCACTCCTACACATATGCCCAGTAAACATGTGTGTCATCCAAAGACATGTTCTAGAATTTTCAATAACAGTGCTATTCATAATGGACCCAAACTGGAAACTACACAAATGGATAATAAATTGTGGAATATTCACACAATGGAATACTACACACCAGGAGAATCAACAATCAACTTCGATATGCAATGATATAAATGGATCTCATGAACATATTATTGAGCAAAAGAAGCCAGACACAGAATAGTATATGCTATTCTGTTTATATAAAGTTCAAAAACAGGCAGAGTAAATTTATGCTTTTAGAAATTAGGGTAGTGATTACCATGAGTGGGGTAATTACTGGAAGGCAACATAAAGGGTTTCTGGGGGTACTAGTAATATCCTATATCTTAATCTGGGAGCTGGTTACATGACTGTGTTCAGTTTGTGGAAATTTATCAGTATGATGAATGTATGTGATGTGTACTTTTCTCTATGTATATTAAAATTCAGTTAAAAGGCTAAGTAAAATGAAACAAAATTCTTTTTTCAAGAATCAGATTTACAGGTGTGAAAATTAGAATGGCTCAGCATAGCAAAACAGAGCTGAAGAGCTGGATTCAAACCCAAGAGTATACCACTGACTGTGCAATCTGGAGTATCTATGAGCTTTCTCTTCTATAAAACGGAGTGAACAGCAAAGATCAAATGACATAATACTTAGGTGCCTTTTAAGCAAAAAGGACACACAAATGTTAATCACTCTTGCCTGAAATACTAAATGATACTGCATATACCCAAGAATTCTCTAAGTTATAAAGTTCTATACAAATGTAAGTTACTATTTTTATATAGTATCACCAGCTTTGCTATTTAAAGAACCTCCTAACAATCAAAGGCGTGCAATATTTATTATACCCAAAGTTCAACCCTCCCGCCCAAACCTTGTATTATTTGAGACATTAGTAAAGTCTTATTAACAGAACTTTTGGAAGAGTATCACATGATGAATAGGAGATGACATAAAAGATTAAAACTTAAATGCTAAATGAACTACTGAACGATGCTACTTATACCTTATACTCCTAACTCCTCTGGCTCAGTAATTACTTCTCACTGACCTCTCAACTGACTTGTGCTTTCCCCCCTTTTCACTCTTGTTCTCACTCCGTCCCCCTTCCTACCCTGCCATTCACCTTTCCTTCTGCTACTGAACTCCTACTCACTTCAAGTCACTCCTCCTGTGGGACGCCCCTCCAGGTCATGGTGACCTTTCCTTCCTTTGACTCCCTTAACATTTAGTGCCTTGACCATCTGTTAGCAACAGCTCTTAGATCGTGTTGAACAGTTATTTACCTCTCAAACAATGAGTTAACAAGTCACATGCTCACATCTTGCATCCTCAGTAGATATACTTTCTTCCTAAAGGCAGGGACCTGTGTGATACTTACTTTAACCCCCGCCCCCAATGCCCTGCACACTGTAGATGTTAAATAACAACAACAACAACAAAAACATGCCGCCAAGTCGACTAGTCCGACTCATGGTGACCTCACGTGGGCCAGAGTAGAACTGTGCGCCACAGGATTTTCAACGGCTGATTTTTCAGAAGTAGATCGCCAGACCTTTTTTCTGAAGCACCTCTCGGTGGTCATGAACCACCAGAACCACCATCCTTTTGGTTAGCAGCCAAGTAAGTTAACTGTCTCCATTACCCTGGGCCTCTGTGGCTACATGAAGGTTGAAGATCTCAGAGGAAGCCATATAGATATAAACTGAGAAGACTGAGCAAAGAAAATGGACGTTAACCATTTGCACCACCCAGAGACTCTAGGTATCAAATAAGTGCTTGCTAAACTAAGCTGATATTGTTTTTGTGGGTTCAGGAAAGGAGACATCTCTGAAAGTAGGCCAAAGCTGCATACTGGGACTTCCGTGAATGACTGGACTCTGTTGGTGACATCTCGTCTCTAAAACTCTCTGTTAAGCTCTGATCTTCTTTCCTCTGAGGGCTCTCAATCACTCTAGACTTTAGCATCTAAACCAGCACTTTCCAACAGAAAGATAATGTGAGCAACCAATACATGTCACATAGTTCATTTTAAATTTTCTAGTAACTACATTTTAAAAAGGTAGAAAGTAAAATTTTAATATTTTTATTTAAACCCATATAGCAAAAATATTAACATTTCAACATGTAATCAATATAAAAATTATTAAAGAGATATTCTACTTTCTTTTTTTCATACTACATCTTTAAAATACAGCGTGTATTTTATACTCACAGCACACCTCAATTTGGACTAGCCATGTTTCAACTGCTCAAAAGCCACAGTGGCTAGTGGTTACCATACTGGACAGCACTGGTTAGAGTCTAGACTAGAGTACGTGATTTCAAACCATTCTGAAAAATCTGAGATTCGGTGAACCCTAAAGGGATATACAGTGATCTTCCTAGATCTTGAGGAATATACTTCAAGCAATTGTATCTTTAACAGCTATTATGTTCGGCATCAGTCTCACAATGCCTGCCCAATCTTTAAAATGGTGATTCAATAATCTAAAATTTGATGTTATCCCATACTTCAGGTTCTTTTATTAGGACCAAAGTCACCTATACGTAGCCATAAAACTATAAGCTCTTTGGAAGCTGGGATTTTATTCCTTCCCAGAGCACCTCATCCAGAGCTTTGCACACAGGAGGTGCTCAGTATATATTCACAGTAAATAAATGAATGAATGAATGAAGCAAGCAAGCAACCTGGTAGAAAACCCTAGCCTTCCACATCACAGTCAGTCACTAACATGGTGGACTGTGGTGACATTTGTTCACAATTATTTATCGATTAAGAAATCAAAACCCAAAGAGTCTCAGTAAGGCAGTATTTAGATTTAGAAGTTTATGCTAAAAAAGGAGGGAAACCCTGCTAAACTAAAATGCATGATTAAAAGTCATAAAAATTATTAAAATCTCTCTAGTACTTTGCCATTTTATAAAGCCCTTTGTCATACATAATCTCATTTAGATAAGACACATACACTAAATATTATCTACATCAACTGTGAAAGTATGGGTTCATTGTCCTGTATTGCAAAAGAAAACAGATATGAAAATATGAATTGCTAACCTGTGCTTAAACCAAACAATTCATGATTACAAAGCCTTAAAGAACATCTTTTATTCATGAGACATTTTCTCCATTTATTTTTGCCATATAGTGAAGCAAATTTCTTATCTCTGATTTTAAGTCATTTAAGAACTTCTTTATTTTGGAATTTCATGACTATCACATTAAGTATTAGTTGTGGTATGGACATTAAATGACAAATGACTAATTGCATAGAGGGGAAAAGATGAAATGAATCACAGATTCCACCTAAACTTCATCAGTTAAAAAGATAAGTACTAATATATATAAGGAAAAAAGAGATGAGCTTAAGTCAGTCATGGCCTTTTGAGGGGAAAAAGGTAAAACTCTTTGATTTGCCTGATCTCAGATCTAGAATCCGAAAGATAAAGGGTATTGCACAGAATCATTTTACCCAGACTTCAAAGGCTCTCCATAAGGTCAAAACATGGAACGTGAATGGGGGCGGAAAAGCTAAATATAAAATCAATGAATTTTGAGATGTTTTTATTATTTAAATGTCTTTTTTGAGTATTCTTAACAGGTATTCGGAAACCCTGGTGCAGAGTGGTTAAGTGCTATGGCTGTTAACCAAAAGACCAGCAGCTGGAATCCACCAGGCGCTCCTTGGAAACTCTATGGGGCAGTTCTACTCTGTCCTATGGGGTTGCTACGAGTCAGAATCGACTCAACGGCAAAGGGTTTGGTTTGGGTTGGTTTTTTTAACAGGTATTCAGGTCCCTATCTACTCTGGAACTTTAAAAGCAAGAATCTAGTTCTCAACATTAAAAGGAAGAAAATATAGCAATGTTATATTTTAATTCCTATTTAAAAAAAAAAAAACACAACCAAACCCATTGCTATCGAGTTGATTC